TCCTGTTATGAAACTCCAAGACAGTGATTTGAAGGCATTTCTATTTCTGGATGCATTTTGTAGGTTTTTCCGGGATGGAAGGGAAAGCCTGGGACGTGGGGTTGCAGCTTGTATCTATAAGCAGTGTTTTGTGTACGTTCTGAGTGTTTGCAAAACTTTATACCCCAAATCTGGTCATTCCATAAATAATTACTGGGGTTTGTGCGTCAGAGGCAGTCATTGATCACAAACCCCTGAGCAGCCTCTGTGATACATGGAGTTGTTAGGCACCCTTACAACTTCACGTAAGAAAAAAAGTAATGGAGCATCTTCGCGATATTAGACTGTCAAAATTTGTCTAAACTGGCTTTATGCCCACTTATTAATAAAAGAAATGGTAAATTGGTATTCATATCATATGTGATACATCTCAATCCAGACTATTAGTATCTAATTTAAGTTTCTTTTTACTTTGTACCAAGTTTTCTCTTTCACCACTTGACTAAAAAATTGTTAAAGTAAACATTAACAGCTGAGTGTGCAAAGGGGCATCCTAAAACGCAACATTTCCAGAAGTGAGACAGTTGCATTAAAAATTGAAAACATACTTTCAGCGTATGAAAATTAAGGAGAAATTTTCCATGGGAAGGAGGGGTTTGAGGGGGGCTAAAGGGGAGAAACAATTCAGGGTAGTTTTGCATAGGTCTCCAATGAAATATTTTTCAGCATATTGTAATGAAACTGGACTGCAAAACAAATCTAAACGGCATGTCTTGGCGCACAGCAAAAAGAAGTAATTGATTTAGATGTGGAAAGTTGTGTTACTCGTGGTGAGATAACATGAGTTGTCTGGAGTTGTTATGAGATTACAGAGAAGAAGTATTTATTACATGGGTTGATGAAAATCAGGCCTTTGGATCGAATCCAGTGTCCAGAATACTTTGGATTTGGTCCAAAATCCAAATACTTTCTAGCCCAATCCAAAGTACTGCAGATAGAATGCTTTGATGGAGAAGGGGAAAATGGTACATCAAAAGAGACAGGATTTTTCTGCGATCGAGTTGGAAGATTCTGGGCTGGTAAGAAACGTAAAGTTTTGGGTAGTCAAATGGATGCTCTGTACGTCAGAGCATTCACAGTCAGGCTGGTCCCCGTTGGGATTTAAATGTCTTTTTTCAATCTCGGAACAGTTTGCCAAATCTGATAGAGCGGTGCCACTGTCCCTTCCAGTTGTCCCTTTAAACTTGCAGCTTCTCGTCTAGGCTGCCTCATCGTATAAAACGTATTCCAAAAGCAGCCTATGCCAGCAGTAGGGTGATAAAGAGCCAGACCCAGCCTGGCTTAGGTGACTCTCCTCCTCTTTTTCTCTCCTGTCATCCTTCACTCCGTTTTCTTTGTTTGGCTGATAACCGGTTATTGGGAAAATGCAAAGGGTGTCTGTTGTTGAACCGGGTTGAGAGGTTTAACTCTTCTTGGAGAGACCTGTACTACGCTTAACTTCCCTATGCTGTTATGCAGTTAAATAAAATAACACATGCCAACTCTGCACGTTCAGTTTAATGAAGGATTTTTGTACCAAAACATGAATGGCAACCTCTTACTTTTTGCCTTTCACGCCCAATAGAAACGTGCAATGGTTACGGTACGTGCCGGGTATTTTATTGCCTCCAGTTTGCGGAGATCTGCACAGAACGGTGCTGGGGTTTGGTGAAAAAATCTCACTTCCATGAGCATCTTTGCTATATAGACATAAAACATGGCTAGTTACACACTGATTAGCTGTGTACTCTACATGGCTAGTTACACACTGATTAGCCGTGTGCTAAGAAGCTTCCAGGGAGCCTTAGCCCTCCTTTCGGTAATTCATTGCACACAGGCACGTCGGTGTGTCCTCGCAGACCCCAACTGGCATATGAGCACAGTAAATTACAAGATAAAAGGTCAAACTTTGATGATGTGAATAGCGTTGTTCACTGGTTACTTCTCAGAGTGAGTGTGGTGGTTGAAGTGGTTTTGTACCTGGGGTAGAATGGAAAACGGATCATCGTACCGGTGCTCTGATTCATTTTTATTTTTTACATCACTCAAATCCTTGTGTTGGTTCACAGTTCTTTAGTCTCCAGTACTCTCAAGAAAAAGTCATACAAATAATAAACTTTGACTGAAGGTATGTGATTGAAGCAGCCATTTTATTCCATTTCACTGTATTGAGTAAAAATATTTAAATATTTTCCACAGAAGAAGCAGTTAAGTGAATTCTTTCACTTCTTTTAGTACTATTTCAAGCTACGTGCAGTACAGAAAAACGGTTTATCTGATTAGATGATGATAAGTATTATGGTGGTGATGGAATGGGACGTTAGCTGATGCAGGGCATTGCAAAACCAGTAGAAATATAAGGTTACTTCAAAGTGTCTCTTGCTGCTTGTGCTAAAAAGAAATTGATGGCTGTTATTTTCTCGTAATGGATCCAGTGCAATTGCCCTAAATAGCAACATGAGCCACAGCAAGGCTGGGCTAAGAGATGAGCAACCTTCTCTGCGCTGTGTTCTGTCAGTATTTTAAATATGTGTTTTCTAATTCGGATTTTACTGTGTTACCAAAAGTTAATTCTCATTAAAAGTAATAGGGAAATTATGTACCTATTTTAGTCTTACATGGAACCTGTAATAAAAATGCCAGCGTAGCATTCAGCAATAACGCTGAAACATGAAGGTAAAATCTGCCGTGGCTTTGATGAGACCTCATCATCCGCTACCTTCTTCGCCAGGATAAAACCAATCAAACACCAAAACTTCGAAACTGAAAACCTGGGAGGACTCGAGAGTCCTGAACTGTTGCCAGGTGCTCTCCAAATCCTATTTCCATGTAGCAGATTTAGAGATTAAAGGGTAGATTGTTTTCACATGAGAGATGGCAAGGGGTTTGATGTGACGTTCCCTCTAACCTGCGCTCGCTGGTACTCGCTCACCTCTCTGCTGGCGGTGAGCAGCATCTCATCGTAGTCTCCTCATCCCTTCCCCAGTTTTGGCCGGCCAAGGATTTACATCCTCCTGGAGTGGTCCAGAGTATAGAAGCGTTGAAACGCATCCCTGCAAAACAGTGCCAGGCTATTCTAGAAGGCTTTGTCCCATGGAAAATCGCCCTTCTTCTTCTGAAAATCACACTCTGTTCTGAAAATCGCACTCTTTCTTCTTTTTATTTCAGCACCTTAGTGAAGGGAGCAGGTCCAGCTGGCTCCTTTCTCGTCCACGTCCTTCTTCTTGATACCACAGCTATTTTTTTCCTTTATGTAGCATTTTGAACTTTACATTTATAAGCAATACATCTAAAGAGAATGTACTGCATAAGCGTACCTACGGGAATATTTTCAAGCACTATATTTATGCCTCTGTAGTCTTCCTTTAGTGGTCTTGAAGGAAGGAGCTGTTGTTACTGTTAAATTTATACGTTAACGTGGTGTTGGTACTGTTGTTGCAGAAATGTTGTAGGATCCTAAGACTTTATATTCCCTTTCTGTCTCAAAAAACCTTTTCTTATTAAAATCAGTCAGGACTACAGTAATGTTTACTATATGGGAAAATATTAGCATAACATTAGTATTAGGACTAAGGCAGAATTGGCACGCGATTCCAAATAAAATCTGTTAGCTTCATTCCTACTATAGTCACCAATGCCCTCTTACATTTGAGTTCTAGGGCGGTTGATTTTTTTTCTGACATATTTACTATTTGAATCACATATTCATGTTTGTCTCACCTTAAAACATCCAATCTAAAGAGTTAAGTCTCAGCTTGAAAAACTATTTTGGGGGAATAACACAGTTCGCGTCATTCTGAACTTCTTTCATGAAGATTTGCTCATACAGTATAATCATATGGGGCGAAATTATTACTTATGACATTCAAATTTTTTCATAGGTATTCTGAGATCAGTGCATTGATGGTGCTAGCTTTTCCCCTTTTATTATACAAATTTTTGTAAGAAATAATTATTTCAATTTAGTCTAAATGCAGGGGTTTTCCATTTTTATGGATATCATCCACCCTAGAAGCAGCTTCCTTCACATTAAATTCATTCAGTTTTATAAACAGTTTTTAAAGGACATTAATTGAGCTAGTCATCTGTTGATAATTCTGAATAGAAGCATATGTGAAACTATTCAGTTAAAAGATACATCCGTTAATTCACCCAAACTGTACATTAAGTATTTAATAACAGTTGTGCTTTCTTAGCTTTTAACATGTAGCTCCATTGCATGCACATATAAATAGAATATGCTGGCAGGTTTATATTTACCCTAAGCCTTATTTTCATGGTTTCATTGACATTTAAAATTTTGGTTCTAAGCTCTTTAAATGGATGCAGCTGTATACATCTTCATGAGTTACTGAACTGGGCTGAAAGACTTCAGAAAATGGCTCATGTGTTTTCTATCTCTGTATTTTTCAGGCTGTTTTATTGGAGCCAGGGAGTCATGAAAGAAACTCAAGAAGACAACTTGGATAATGAACGGAAGATAAAAAGAAAACAAAAAGAATGTGGCATATAAAGGGTATAATACCTGGAGGTATTAGATCTGACTCATATTTATAAAAATGAGACAAGCTTTCACAAAATACAAGTTGTCTTAGACAGTCATCAAGCTTGGAGCCATGCTGTTGAACTAGAAATTCTCCTTTTCCCCATTCTCCTTTCTGACAGGTAACAAAGGATTGGTGAATTATGATTTTCCCAAGTTGGAAGCACTAATTTTTATCTATATAGTTCATCCTTATGAATATATAAGGAGTTAAACATTGCATATTTAATGTGGATTATAATGGGAAACTGACTCATTAACAAAAATGGCCACTTTTAAGGACTTGGTTTCAAACTGAGCTGGAGCCTCCCAATGCACTTTGTACAGTTTGGGGAAAGGTGTACTGAATGGCCTTCTTTGGGAGGCCATGATGACATGTAGTAAAAGGATATCATCTTACTGTTGATATCTTTGAAGACTCATAAACAGAAACAGAAAAATGAATGGTGGGAAGGAGTGTGACGGAGGGGACACGGATGGAGGGCCACCAGCAGTGCAAGTTCCCGTTGGTTGGCAGCGACGGGTGGACCAAAGTGGAGTGCTCTATATCAGGTAAGGTTATTAACAAAACTCATTTTGTTGTGGTTTTGCCAGAACACGTGGTAAAGTAGTGACTCAGTTCGTCTTTTGTACGTAGAAACTTCAAGGACTTGTTCTTTTGGAAGTGCGAGATCATTTTTTTCCGCTGATATTAGCGGAGTCCACTTGTGTCACTTGTGCCATTTGCATGCCCTTAACGTACTCTCAAATCTAATATTGCTTGGTCTTCAAAATTTGATAATCCTTACTATACATTTTGCTTTAGGCATGAATAGTTCTTTATTACTTACTATTGTCATACGGATCTTAAAGCTGAGCAGCAGCAGATTTAACCTTATTTAATATCTTTATTATTCAAACCTTTTACAATGCAAGTAACCAGAGGTTTATTTATATGCCACACCTGAGATGATGAGAAATCTCTGCTCTCTTTTGCCTACTCCCAGATGCGCGGGCATTGCCTTTCCTTGCACCAGCACGGGCTTTTCGTAAGAGCCTTTGTTGGTGGAGTTCAAAGCAGTGCCGTGGCATGCAGGCAGTTCGTGGCAGGTATGGTCGAGGGGGATTTCCTTCTTCCGTCAGCACCAAACCTTCAGCTCAGTTCACGTAGTTCCGTGCAACTTTATCCTGACGTTCTGAAGGCCTTCTTCCCTAAGTCTTTTCTGGGTCTGTGTTCCAGATCTCTGTTATACTTTTGTGTTTTACATACTCTCTTTTGAAACGAAATTTAATTGGTGCACTTGATAGCTGCAGAAAATACCGGTTTTTATATGCCCTGTGAAAGTTCTGTGTTCAGTGTCACTGACGTTCTCCGGCAAGATTTACTTCTGTGTATTCTTCACGTTTCTCATATAGAAAAATACAGGAACTCGAGCCTAAATCCAAAGTTTTAGGTATTTTATTTGTTTATTTTGTTAGCTTATTGGATTCTTTTTGCTTCACCCTGGAACAGTCACAAAGAAATGCATTGAAATTGCTATTAAATGAATGTGTTCAGACAAACAGACTACAAATTAAATGTTACTGGAAAAAAGATCAAAGTTAGCTTTAACAAAATATGGCTGCATCAGGTTTACATCACAGAAGTCTAAATGATTATCAGTCTGTTATTTGCTTAATCTTATTCCACTATTTTGTGATTAAAATAACCACTTCTTCACAACATTTTACGTATTACCAATACAGAATTCTTTAATGAGTCAAAGCATACTCCAATTTTACACTGAACTACCATAAAAGATCAAATGCATTCCAGGATTTCTTGTTTATATCCTCAATTAGCAGAATCACACAAAATCCATGTCAGTGATACGCATGTCAAAGATAAATCGCCTTTCCCTCATATTTCTCATTACAGCTATAATTTACTGGGCCTTTGTCTTAGTTAAAAATCAATGAGAAAGAAAAAGTTGTGGGTTGGTGGGGTTTTTTTCCTATAATCTCTGTGTCCAGGCATTGGGACATAGAACGCTTTGGTATTTTTGTAAGAAAGACATGGACCTGCTGGAGCGTGTCCAGAGGAGAGCCACGAGGATGATCCGAGGGCTGGAGCACCTCTGCTGTGAGGAGAGACTGAGAGAGTTGGGGCTGTTCAGCCTGGAGAAGAGAAGGCTCCGGGGAGATCTTGTTGCGGCCTTCCAGTCCCTAAAGGGGCTCCAGGAGAGCTGGGGAAGGACTTTTTACTGGGGCATGGAGTGACAGGACGAGGGGGAATGGCGATAAACTGGAAGAGGGCAGGTTTAAATTAAACATTAGGAAGAAGTTTTTCACTTTGAGGGTGGTGAGGCACTGGGACAGGTTGCCCAGAGAGGTTGTTGAGGCCCCGTCCCTGGAGGTGTTCAAGGCCAGGCTGGACGTGGCCTTGGGCAACCTGGTCTGGTGGGAGGTGTCCCTGCCCATGGCAGGGGGGGTGGAACTCGATGATCTTCAAGGTCCTTTCCAACCTAAACCATTCTATGATTCTATGATTTTTTTATGCCTGATGATCCTACCTGCTTTTGAACTTCATTTTCTACAGCCATAAGAAGCAGACCATGAAACTTGTGCCGCTTCTTCAAGCATGTGTCTTACATGTGTATAAACTAGTCAATGTTGGTATAATGCTGACAATTATTCGCTTTTCTATCTTCTTTTTATATGTGTTCTCTTTGTTCACGGGGACTTTCTTAATATTTCTGTTCTGAATTGCCGTAAGCAAAACTCTGTTTTTATCCTAGTTGCCCCTATTAATCAAGTTTGCCAGTTGCCTTTTTCAGCTTGGGGAGGCTTGTATCATTTCTGCCCTCTTCCCAAGTTCTCCCCATGTATATTTTTTTCCCCTTTAATCCAGTGATTAATCTTCTGGATGCCTTCTTTACACCATTCCAATGAAAGGGAAGGGTAGGCACTTGGTATGGTCTACAGTTCTCACATTCTTATTTGGTGAAAGGCACAGGGTAGGACATGTTGGTTGGAAAGGCTGGAAGTCAAACCATCCAACCTCCTTGATGTGGAGCATCCGCAGCACTCGGGCAGGTCAACCCTTGGTTTCACCAGCAGCATCTTTGAGGATTGACTTTCCACAACCTCTCTGGGGAACCGGCTGTAGCGCTGCAGTGTAATTCTGAAGGAACAACCACCCTGAAAATACGCACGGTGTTTATTGGGAGAATGAAAGGTCACACAATATCGACTCAAAAAGTATCCAAGGGAAAATTAGTGTATATATTAAGATCTGACATGATTTAACTAGAATAGATGATCCCAGCTGGGTAAGGACTCATTCTATTTGTGCTTCCTTACAAAACATGCACGCTTTTCTACCAACTGTCAACAGTTGCTTTGGATTAAATCCATTAATTAACTAGTTTTTATTATCTGGTAGAAGCACTGAGTTGAATCTCAGTGTTTTTCTTAGTAAAACAGTACTACAGCATTAAAGTAGGACCTAGATCTCTCATTCAGCTTAGTCGTCAGTGGAATAAACTGAGAAAAAACTCTAATAATAGGAAAGGAACTAGAACTGTCAGTAACAGATCCTAATATATTTTATAATTTGTTCACTTTTGTTTCTTTGGGGTCTGAAAACCTCTGGGTGACCTCAGTGAGGAAGAAAAAAAAAAAAAGCTGGTAGTTCCTTACAAAGGCAGCTGCTGATTATCCTTTGCAGTATAGAAAGATGAGAAAATCTGTACACGCAAAAGACACTTCGCAGTTACATTGCTCTGCCCCGGAACAAGGCAGGAACGGAAAAATCGGCCCTTTTTAAATTTTGTTGTTTCTTGTGGACAAATAGCCATGCATAAACATGCAGTTGGGATGCTGAATCCCACGTGCCACAGATTCAGTGGCCTGACGTGTGCGCTCCTGGTCAGCGTGAGTATCCAGACCTTCCTTTACGCCCACCCATCGTCGGTGCAGTGTGAATGTGCCCTGCAGGTCTGCTGCTTCCAGGCTCCAGGATCTCCCTGTGCCTGAACAGGGTATGTGTGCCCAGGCAAACTGCACACTAAGGAAGGGTTCTTCTAGAAACAGGAGGGAAAAAAAAAAAAAAAAAAAAAGAAGGGTGGTGGTATAGCTTTACTCTCGCTGCTCAGTACGCCTTTTTCACCGATACAAATAAAAAGGCATCCTGACTCCAGAGCATTTTCCCAAGGATGCCTTTTAACACAAGTTTTTAAGCGTGACAGAAAGCGTAGATGGGATAGCGTAGAGCAAACGTCGATCTGAGCTTCTGCCGTGGGAAGCTGTTACTTCTTCAAGCGTGGACCTCGTCGGGGGTGAGCGGTCGCTCCCGCGTCTGTAGTTGGAACAGGTTGGGAAAGTCCAAAGCGATGGGCCAGCGCTGGAGATGCAGAGCCAAAGCAGAGAATAAGTGATGCTCCCTGAGCGAAAATATGATAAGGGTAGCATCGTGGCTTAAGCAGTCTATAGCTGAAATTAAAGTAAATAAAAATAAAGAGTAATTTCCCCCTGCTCCCCAAGTTTTTCAGTTTGAGACAGGGGAAGTTTGACTTTCTCATCTTTCTATCACCGCATACCCGTACCGTTATTTTTAGGTTGCTCTTTTATCTTGTTTTACCCTCAGAACTGTCACTGTTACGCATATTTGACCTGGGCAGTTCTCTCTAAAATAACTATTCCAGGGCAAGTCTGGCAAATAAATTACTTACTGAAACTGTCAGCATAACTAAGTGTCACTTGATGGTGTTGCTTTGTATGTGACTCAGTTCTTGTGCAGAATTAGGTGTTTATACATTGGGTTTTAACTACAAAAGTTTGTCATGGTTTGGAATTTTGACTCTTGGCTGTTTTCATGATCCAAACTATGCCGCTTAAGTTGTTTTTATTAAATATTGCACTTAAGGTTTTTTTGTTAAACTAAAGGCTATTTAGAGCTGCCATTAAGAACCAGTTTTTTAGCCAGTCCTCATAAATTATTGTGTTCTTTCCCTGATAAACAGTTTAGCTGGCTAAGTAATAAAGAGCAATCTGGAACCTGGAGGCTTGCGACACAAGAACTTTTTTCATCTTATGAATTAGTGATTTTGCCGTAACAGAATTTCCAGTGTCCTATTTTTGGATGTGGAGATAATGATTTTCTGGTGGGAGTTAGAGAAATCCGTGTGCAGTTTATCAGAAGCTCACTGGACCGGCTTCTTGGTGTAATATTTCTCACTTTCACTGAGAGGGTTGAAATTTTAGCTGAATGAAACCAAATTGTTTATGCAACCAAGAGCCTCAGCTGCAGCCGTTTTTGTTACTGTGCCCCCTTTTGCGGGTTTTTTTTCTTTTTAGATTAGATCCCAGTCCTAAAAAGTACAGATGACTGTCGTGCCTGCATGGAGCTGAGTGATGTGATGGAGGGGGAGGAGGTCCATGGGGACCGCGCTCTGCCTGCGTGTTACGCTTTATAGGAGAGAGGAGGGAGAAAAATAATCTCAGTGTTGTTAAGGCTTTTGAGCAGGATTGTAATATCAATAGTAAATACCAATAATCTCAGTGACTTTCTTTTCTCTGCACTCACTGTGTTTGTTTTTCTATAGTAAAATCTTCCTTGAAAATGTTTTTGGGGCTATTTTTGATAAGTATCATTCAGTTCTTGACTAAAAGCAAGAAGTGCTCTGAAACAAAATATGAAATCTTAGCTGTGTTATTTTAAACACTCTCTCTGTGAGCTGTTAGAATGGTAGACAGAAGTCATGACCTATCAAATAGCTTGTATTCATCATTTCTGTTCCTTTACAGTCCCAGTGGGTCTTTATTATCCTGCTTGGAGCAGGTGAAGACTTACTTGCTGACTGATGGAACATGCAAGTGTGGCCTAGAATGTCCTCTTGTTCTTCCCAAGGTAAAGACAAGCACCATTTTGGATCTCTCTGCGACAATCCTTATCAGTTCTATCAGCTGATGTGCTATGCTGTGATTTAATCTCTGTTCGGATCATATATATAAAATGAGATAAGTGGTACACATCTGAAGATTTACCGTAAAATACAAAAGAAATCTTCCCTCGGCCTTCTCCCCTCACGGAAAAGATCTGACTCAGTTTTTTATGGTGTTTTAACATTTTCCTATAAAATTGGAAACCGACCACCAACAGCAGCGTGCTAACGTGTGAGAATCAGGATGAGACACTGACTTCTGTTTCATCTCTTGAGCAATGTAGGAGCCATCAGATAGCTCTAAGAAACAGAAGTAAATTTAATTTTATGTAAAATTTCTGGTTTAGTTGTGCTTGATGAGTTTGCTGCCTATAATCATTATTTTGAACGTTGGAATTTTTACTCTCAGGTCTTTAATTTTGATCCTGGAGCTGCTGTGAAGCAGAGAACTGCTGAAGATGTTAAAGCGGACGAAGATGTCACCAAACTATGCATACATAAACGGAAAATTATTGCTGTGGCTACACTTCATAAAAGCATGGAAGCACCACATCCTTCACTAGTTCTAACTAGTCCTGGTGGTGGAACAAGTGAGTAAAATCATGCAGAATCACTTAATTCCTTAATTTTCAAGATATATAATTACTCTACAGAAACACCCCCAAAAGTCTTAGATATCTATGAGTGCAATAGTAAACAGATTAAAGGAAAAAATAGAGGTAGTAATTAGAGAGATGTAGGTAGACAGAAAATGAGTCTAAAAAGCAGGTCATCCCAGACTAAGAGCATGATTTTCTTGGAAAAGATATCAGATTGTTCTAGACAAAGAAAATACATTAGCTCTCATCTTTTGGAACTGTAGTAATATGTCTGATATTCTGTCACATGGGAAATTAGAGAAGCAGAATAAAGTGATTATAAAGGGATTAGAATGTGGCTAAGGACTTGGCTAAATGGGAAATTGTATTGCAAGGCAGAATATACAGCTAGAGAAGCTCTCCGCTGTAATTTCTCAAGGATTATTTTGGGGGACCAACCTGGATTAGCATTTTAATTATCCATATCAACAAAAAATGAGGTAATTTGTTGATGGCTGAAGTTGGCAGGTACTATCAAAACAAGAGACGATTAAAACATGTTGAAAAACTGGGGGATCATTGAGACCTGGAGTGAAAGAAAAGGTATAGCAACAAATCCTGTTAATTGTAAGGTTATTCACCTGGGGTCTAGTGAAAAAAAAAAGCTATTAGCTGGAAATTATTGAGAAAGAAGACCTAGATATAGGAGCTGACCAAAGATGCCCGTGAGCAGTACCAGATGGCAGTATGGTGCAGATCAATGTGACTCAGAGAGAGAAGCAGGAACGCCGTTGTACGCTTACTGCCGTCCTGCGCCGCTGTTCTCGCCAGCGGCACTCAAGCTGAAACAGAGCAGAGGCATTTCTCTTAGTGAACTGCAAAACCTGTTTTATGAAAGTCATCTAAAAGCGTTTAGCGCGTTCACCCCAGCAAAGTGGTGGCTGAAACGAGATGCGATTGCCGTCAATAAAGACGGCATAAATAAAGGAGAATCGGCACCAGAAAATAAAGCCGCTTAAGCTAAAGGACAGGGTTAGCTCTGCAAGAAACAGCTACCAAAACAGAGTTGCACAGCAACTTCAACTGAAAATGAGATACTTTCTAAGGATTACAAGAAAAGGTTCTGAAGTAGTCTTACAAATCCAAATGGTTCGGACAAAGGAGCGAAGTTACTTTTTAAGACAGAGCCGAGTAAATTTATGGTTATATACTGTGATGCACGCAACTTCTGGGAAATGGCCCTTGATAATCTGAGAGATCTTTTGCACCCCTATATTACTGTAATTATAGCTGCCTAATTGCTAATCCCCCTGCAGCCTGACTTCAAAGTGGAAAATTTTAAGGATATAAAAATAAATAATAAATTTCAGCTAGATAGACAATGCTAAGATACTGATGTGCTCTTGCATTTTTAAATTGCTATGTATAATTTCAAAGCTTTGTTTAAAATGTTTTTTGCAATGTAATACAAGTTTTTAAAACAAACAGTGCAATTTCCCAAATTACTATGCTTTTTCCTTATTAGTTTTTTTTATTCTTTATAAGTAGCGCCGAAATTGCATTTCCGTTCTCAAAAATTTAGCAAAACGAAGGAGGTAAAACCAGCCAGATATTAAAGGCACGAGTCACATTCATGTGGTTTACCTTCTCTGTTAATCAGAATTTTGTGTTCTAAGCAAAGAAGAAAATTCCCCAGTAAATTGCCTTTGTAAATAAAACGGCTTTGCACTTATGCACTCTTATATTTGACCGTTTGCTTAGGTCCAGCATTTGAGGTGAGGGCTCCTCTACATATTTTGTTTTGCAGTTCAGTCTTGAGATTTGTCCCCTAAACGAGACTTTGGTTGTATTTTGGGAAAGGTAATATGTTTGTTTCTGTCATGTGTAGCTGGTTGAGCAAATAGGATGAAGGCAGGATTGCCGGTGCCATCTGTCTCCTATGGCCAGGCTGAAGGAAGGAAGGGAATTTGGTTCTTGTGAGTGGAGGAATTTAAAGGCACCTCTGAATTCATTTCAACGTGAAACCTTTAGCTCATTACTCCAGTTTAAGTTTGCCTTTTCGGAGGCTGCATGCCAAGCGCTCCAAGATGAATTACAAATTCCCAGAGCGGCAGAACTGGCAGAAAGTCTGCCAGACGTGGAGCTGCTTGTGATGGTATTCTTAAAGTATAAAACATTGGGAAAAAAAAATATTTTTAAATAAAACTGACATTAGTGGGCAGAAACGGAAAGTGGTCTTGTGCTTGTAGGCAGGTCTAGTCTCGAAACTGGGATTTACAGGAAATTGTGCCATTGTAGAGGGGTTCACATATGTGCATATGCAAATATCCCCAGGGCCTTTAGCCTGAAACCGACATAGAAGGTTGAGCCCCTTAAATTTAGCATCTTCACCCCAAGCAAAGCTCGGTGCAGAAGCTGCAGGTAAAGCCTTAATTCAGGGAATTGATACAGGACAGTTCCTAGGAACAGGTGAACTCAGAGGACTGGAACTCGGTGCCCGTGGTGCCAGCGAGTGATGCAGAGCAGCCGGAGGAGCTGCGTCCTGCCTGGCACAGCCACAGTCTCCGAGGTCTCCGCAATCAAGTGCTTGGCTGAATAGTAATCTGGGCCAAAGTCATACGGCATAGCTCCCTATTCATCCTCATCGGGGATGGCATTTGGGACAGGACCCTTTTCTCTGTAGGGCGTGGAGAAATTAGCCTAAACCCTTGTTGGGCTTTGTTCCTCCTGTACTCAATAGGTGGTGCCAGAGGCTCCTTTTCCCTGCGACAGTGATAGCCTGCTCCTCCTGCCAGCCCCTCTAGCTGCAGCCAAAGAGGTGATGCTGGAGATTGAGGAGTAGGACACTGGAGATGATGGTTAGAGGGAAAAGACAGAAGGAGGAGAGAAAAAAGGAAAACTTTCAGGAATTGATTTTTCAGAAGGACCATGCTAAACTGAATTTACGTAGGTAGCGAGTGTGCTTGAAACTTAAGAAACACAACATTTATTGGTTTCCATATTTATGCAGTCTTTATATGGGACGTGGAGTTAAGGTAGATACAACTGCACTGTGTAGTAGGGTAGCGTGCACCATTCCAGCAACGACTGGGTGATTTAGGTATTATTTCTGTTTAGACAAAAGTTTAGCCAAAAGGCCTTCTTGCTTTTATGAGTATTTTCACACACAGTAGTTTTGCACTGAAATGTGTGATATTGGATTTCAAAACAGTAACTGTTGTGTTTTTAATATCAGGTGCAACTCCAGTAGTTCCTACTCGAGCAGCAACTCCGAGATCAGTGAGGAATAAATCACATGAAGGAATTACAAATTCTGTGATGCCAGAATGTAAGACTCCTTTCAAGTTGATGATAGGGGCATCTAATGCCATGGGTAGGCTTTATGTGCAAGAAATGGCTGGAAGCCAGCAACAAGAACTTCATTCTGTCTATCCTAGGCAGAGATTGGGTAGTAATGAACTTGGACAGAAGTCTCCGTATCGCGGCAGTCATGGTGGGATGCCCAGTCCAGCTTCATCAGGATCACAGATATATGGAGATGGCTCAATCTCTCCTAGGACTGACCCACTTGGAAGCCCTGATGTTTTCACAAGGAACAATCCCAATTTTCATGGAGCACCCAACTCTAGTCCTATTCACATGAACAGGACACCTCTATCTCCACCATCAGTAATGCTACATGGTTCTCCCATACAGTCATCCTGTGCAATGGCTGGAAGGACTAATATACCTCTTTCCCCAACCTTGACCACAAAAAGCCCAGTAATGAAAAAACCCATGTGTAATTTTTCAACTGGTATGGAAATACCACGAGCAATGTTTCACCATAAACCACCCCAAGGTCCACCCCCACCTCCTCCACCGCCTTCTTGTGCTCTTCAGAAAAAGCCATTAACATCAGAAAAGGATCCACTTGGCATACTTGACCCTATTCCGAGCAAACCAGTGAATCAGAACCCTGTTATCATTAACCCAACTACTTTCCATTCAAATGTCCACTCTCAGGTACCCGTGATGAATGTAAGCATGCCTCCTGCTGTCGTCCCTTTGCCAAGTAACCTTCCTCTGCCAACGGTAAAACCTGGTCACATGAATCACGGAAGTCACGTTCAAAGAGTTCAGCATTCTGCTTCAACTTCCCTCTCTCCTTCACCAGTGACGTCCCCAGTTCATATGATGGGATCCGGGATTGGAAGGATCGAGGCTTCTCCCCAAAGATCGCGTTCTTCTTCCACGTCATCCGATCACGGAAATTTCCTGCTGCCTCCAGTAGGACCACAGTCATCCTGTAGTGGTATTAAAGTTCCTCCCAGGTCCCCAAGGTCAACAATAGGGTCACCGAGACCATCTATGCCATCCAGCCCTTCCACCAAACATGATGGACTTAATCAATACAAGGACATCCCTAACCCATTAATTGCTGGAATGAGTAATGTATTAAATCCTCCAAACAATGCAGTTTTTTCTACTGCATCGGCTGGAAGTGGTTCCTTGAAGAGTCAGCCTGGTTTGCTGGGAATGCCTTTAAATCAGATCTTGAACCAGCACAATGCTGCCTCTTTTCCAGCAAGTAGTTTACTCTCAGCAGCAGCCAAAGCACAGCTAGCAAATCAAAATAAACTTGCTGGTAACAACAATAACAGCAGTAGCAATTCTGGACCTGTTGCCAGCGGTGGCAACAACGAAGGACATAGCACTTTAAACACCATGTTCCCTCCTGCTGCCAACGTGCTTCTACCAACGACTGAAGGGCAAAGCGGCCGAGCAGCGCTCAGAGATAAATTGATGTCTCAGCAAAAAGATCCTCTAAGAAAAAGAAAGCAGCCGACCACCACGGTGTTGAGTTTGCTGAGACAGTCTCAGTTGGACAGTTCTGGAGTTTCTAAAGCTGGATCTGATTTGATAAGAAAGCAAAGTCAAAGCTCCTTTCCCATCAGTTCTATGTCCCAGCTACTTCAGTCCATGAGTTGTCAAAGCTCTCACATGAGCAGCAATAGTACCACCAGTTGTGGGAGCTCAAATACTGCTTTACCTTGCTCTGGTAACCAGATGCATTTTGCAGACACCAGTATGAACTCTGGCAGTCTCCAGAACTCGCTGGCACAGAGTTTACCCTTGCGAGGGGAAAGTGTGCACTGCCAGAACACAAACACTAACTTTGTCCACGGTACTAGCCCGGGCACAACCAACCATCTTGCAGGTTTAATAAATCAGATGCAGGCTAGCGGGAACTGTGGGATGCTCAGTCAGACAGGAATGGCGTTAGGAAATTCATTACATCCGAACCCACCTCAGTCGAGAATCCAGGCATCCTCCACTCCAGTGGTACCAAACAGCATTGTTAGCAGCTGTAATCAAACAAGTCCTGAAGCAGGTACGTTGCCTTCTAAAAGGATACCCCTATGTTTGACTGCTCGGAAATATATGATGACTATTTTTAAATGGGTTCCTTTTACGTATCTACTTTTTAAATTTGAGTTTACCAATATACCAGTATGAAAAGTCTGCCCATTTCAGACTGATATCTAGAAATTCAAAAATAAAACAAATGAGAAAAAAACAGCGGTAGACTAAAACATATCTCCCTTTTCCTGAACAAAATCATCTCAGCCTCCTTCCTGTGACAATTCTTGCTTTTATTAACTTCCACACACTCTGCATAAATAAAATCCATGCACTTTCCCACATACCCAGACCTCAGCTTTTCTCGCTTGCCCAAATAAATCGGGGTGGTTTGTTGGTTTTTTTGCAGCATGCCCTGCTACTTCAACCCTAGAATGCCATGGCTAACCTGGCGCTGAGCGTCCAGGCCAGACACGTCTTCTTTACTGCTCGCATTAAAGAGTTGGTGTTACCAGAGACTGGAGCAGATAGTAGGAGTCCAAAAGTTTACAAAATAACCCTTTTCAGGGACAGCACAGGGGAGTGCCAGGTCTGTGTTTGCCTTTATCATGATAATTTTACTAAGCTGGTAATTAAACGGTTGAATAAACTGAATGTTCAGTTGGAAGAGTGTAGAGAGAGATTTCCTGGTTTATTCATCAGTGAAGATTTGGAGAGGAAACAGGTATGCTGCTGTTGCTATCTCCGTGCTGTTGAAAGGTAAAAAAGGAGACAGCTCAACAATGTATATTTCATTTAACTTCTACTGGTTGAACAAAGTATGCAGTTTTGAAAGATGGTACTGTGTTAATTTCCTAAGCAGAAAGCAAACCTTCCAATTGATATTTCGGTCTCTCAGCTTGGTTAACTTTCAAAGCGTGTGTTTGATGCAGTCATAGCTAAACTACATCAGGTCAAACGAAAGTGACTGTAAGCGTGCAAGCGGTCTCTCTCATTAACCCCAGAAAAAAACTGATACGTGTTCCTGAGCTTCTTCCAAGAGAGCTGTTTCTTCTTTAAAATACAGAATGGAATTCTATAAAAACTGAATTATGTAAAAATAATTTTCTAATACTATGCTGGTCACAGTTTGTGATGACTTTGAAGGGTTTCTCTCCATTCCTGGGAGAAAAAAAGGCCTTTTTTTTTTTTTTTCCTTAGCGATATCGGTGGTTTGTGTCACAAGCAAGCAGCTATTAATCCTTGCATGGCTGTTTCGCCTTGTCATGCTGACAAAGAGGAGTATTTCCTGATACAGTCCGTCTCTTCTGAGACTTTGTACTCTCTTCTGAACAGAACAAAGGTCTGGTTTTGCCGTAGGAGCTTGCTTCCCTGTCCCACTAAGCATACTACAAAATCCCTTTTGCAGGAAACCTTTTGGCTTTCCACCTCTGTTGAGTTCAGTGGGGTCCAGTGGGTATGTGTGGGTTCTTCTGAATTGTTACTGTCCACATAGCTGAAGAAAGCTGTGGAGTCGCTGCAGCATTGGACTACGTTAACTTGCCCTCCAGAGATCCGAAAAGACAATGTTATCCGAGAGAAGAGCCTGTGTGCCAGCGGTTACCGTCGAGAAGCTGAGCAGTAGTAATTCACCCCGTGTGGGGTAAGGGTTGAAAAGGTTCAAGAGTCCTGCACGAAATTCGGACTGGAACCCATTGACAGAAGTTAATCGGCGTAAAGTTGTCACTAAAATGTTGCTTAGAGACTATCAAAGTGGGCTTCTGAGAACGAGAACCCCATGTTCATCCCCATGCGGGATCTTCTTGTTCCTCCTCCATCGCTTTGCCCCATGCGCTGTAGCCGTGCCCTGCTTTGGTGTGGTGGTACCTGGGACCACTCGGGAAGGTGACCTTCGGGTGGATGGCGGGGCTTGTCCTCGGTCCTGTGTTAGTTAATCAGTGCCTTTCCTTGCATCGCCGGTCCTTGTCTTCAGGCAAGCTGAGTTTCTTCCCGAGAAGACCAATGCGACCGAACAAATCTGTGCGTGCGTCAGAGCCCCGTGAAGAGAGGCTTCAGCAGAAACAACCAATTCCGGTCTCAGCAATACAGGAACAGAAAGATGTATATAACCCCACCTGGGAACCTCTGTTCCGCTGTGGTATTTCTGCAGAATGGTATTTCTAATGCCCTGGAGATAACAGATGGAATTATAACAATATAATTATAGGGCCTTAAACTGACACTTTTTTCCTTATCTAAATGATAAATGGCAGTTCTGTGTAGGCAAAGACTAGCAAGATTTGAGTGTGTTCTGTTCCACTGCTGAAGAGGTCTGTTTCTTTAGTTTTGATGCTTGCAAAATGCACCCAACCTGCCTTTAGTTATTTGGTTAAATAAGTAAACGTTATTAACAGGCCTAGAGACCTGTTTTCTTCTTGAAGATGGAATTTCAGATTCTGTTATCTTTGTCTTATCCCCAGGGGTGAGGCCCTAAAATGGCGCGTAAGCCTTCAGCCGGGCTCCTGCCTGAGCCGTCGGGGCAGCGGGGACTCGGGCGGGAGATTCAAATCGAATCCAGAGCTGGGAAAATCCAGACAGGGACATGCCTAAACCACGACAGGACATTTTGTTGCGTTTGCAGGAGGACGGAAGCGTTCTTTTCGTGAAACAAGTGCGAAACGTTGAGTGTTTTGCATTGATAATACCTTTTAAAATAAAAGTTAGTTGCCAGTCTGCATTCGGTTATGTAGACAAAAAAGATAAGAGGTATATTGTGAATTCTTGTGTACAGAGGCGTAGCGGGTCGATAGTCGTGGTGGATGGAGCTGAGCGGTGTCACACATGCTGAGTGAGATCTCTTCGGGAAACTCTTGTGTTCATTTTTGAGTTTGTGGCTGCCTTTTTTTTTTTTTTTTTGCTTTGTTTTTAAGTATTTTAATTGCTACATCTGTTTTCTGTTTCTGTGCCAGCGTTCAGAATAGCTACTAATCAGGAAATAGCTCCTGAGAGAAAAAATACTGAGAATCGCCACAATGAGATAACTGGTTATTGCGTAAGCTTTTAATTATATTTTAACCGCATGGACCAAGTTTTATTATTCTAGCATTTGTTTTCTTCTGCAGATAATATCTTTAGTTTTCAGGTAATTTTCAGTACGAGTGTGATGGAATTAAAAATTAATCAACACAAATATAAAAAATTTCTATTTATGTGGTAGAAAGCGCTTGTAGTTTCCCAAGTTTGAGCCCTTGCAAACCAGTTATGCTCGATTAATTTTTATTAACAATTTCAGTCTCTCATTTCAATAGTATTTGGGTTGCGAACACTATTTAAGAACTGCTGCCTTATAGGAAGAGCTAGCAACAGGTCTGTATAGATTATTTAGGGCTTTTCCTTTGAAAAGAGTCCATTTTCTGCCCGGAGACTGGATTCTAGGCTCATTTTTTCTGATGGGTGGTGTTAATATTTCTGTTAACCTCTGGGGCTGTATCCCTCATGAAGCAAGCCCTCGGACTCCTGATGCAAACTGAAGGTAGAATCCGGTTTGCCAATTTGGCACCTGTAAGATTTATTCATTAAGCCACTTCGCCTCTCTTTGGATTTGTCTGTTCTGTTTGTAAAACGGGGCTGCGTCACTGTGTGATATATTTTATTGTCCAGTCTGCTTCATTTTTTTTTTTTTCTTGTTGTTAGAATGTGCCGTCAGTCCAGAAGTTCACAGTGTAGAAACTCTTGTGTGTGTGTTGAGCATTCTACGTGCAAATCCTGCTAAGAATGCAACATGTAAATGATGGGATAGATGAAAACAAGCGAAAAATATCTGGGAGTAAAACCTATATATGGCTGATAAGGGAAATCAAGGGAACTAATATAATAACCGTAGCGAATAGAAATAAAGATGATGAGTTGTCTCAAATATCAGAACATCAGAAATAGAGAAACTCTGGGTCTAGGAGTTTAGTAGTGACAAATAAAGGGCAAATTTGACAAACAAAGGCTGTATCCCTTACACAGACTCCAAGCAATAATTTTTACTGGTGAAATTTACAGAACAGAAAATAGTAAAATATGATTAAATAGGGAGGAACGCACAGGACCGATACCAACCAGTGAGGAGCTTCAGTCCCACTCAAATAGAATTTATTTTAATACAAGCAAGTACAGTGTAATATAATTGGGAATGGAACATTGCCTTGGAAAACAGTCACTCAAAGAAGGGGTTTAGGAGGCTTTGATTTAATAGGCATAATGCAAACTGTCAGATCAGTGATGTTGAAAAAAAAAAGACACACACCCCCCCAGAAAAATAAAAAAAAACCCAAACCTACAAAAAGAGAAGCAGAGTGTATTCTTAGAAATGTAAAAATGGGAATATGGAGTGGAACTGGGGATGCTCCTGGCTCTGTGTGTACTTAAGAACACCAGAGTTAGGATGTGGTGTTGTGGCTAGTGGTCGCTCCTCGTGGAAGGTACAGAAATACTGGATGTTTCAAAGGAGGGCCACAACATTGGTCCGGCTGGTAGTCCATCAGAGCTCGGGATGTAAGCCCTGGAGGCACTGCCCGTACTGTTGTCTTCCAGCAGATCCTGAAGTCGGGCTCGTATCCCACGCTGTGAGCTTGTCAGCAGAGCAGGTACCAGGGAGTCAGGCTGGACCTGAGGTATTCCCAGCACTTGGGAATGCCCTGGAATCTGCTCTTTCAAAGAAGTAGCCAAGAAATAGTGTCACTTCCTATAAGTATTTATACATGAGCAGTATGTGAAAAAGGGGAGGGCTGAGTTATTTTTCCCTTGTTGGCAGACATTCGATGCCAGCTCCCAGTGGCTGAAAGTTCGTAAACTCAGCATCAAAGAAACGAGTGGTTTCCTTTTTGTGAGGGAACTCAACGTTGAAGTACTCCAGCAGAGGACGTGTTGAGTATATGAACAGTGTGTCTTAAATTTCTCAGCCCAGGTGTGCATAGGATCCTTCTGCATGATGATGGCGGTCGCTTCTGACCTCAGCGTCTGCTCATCTCCGTTCCCCTCGAGCTGCCCTCCCGTCCTGACCGG